CAATTAAATTTATCAAAAATGACAGTAAAGACATTTAAAATGTTGCAAAAAAAGTTTTTCAAATAAATGTCATGTTTTCCACAAAAATGTATTGAAGGATTTGTGAAGGATTATGAGACATTGATGACTGCAATTTAGTTTTGCCATCAAAGTAATAAATTGCATTTTAAAATATATTCAAATAAAAAAACTTATTTTAAATTGCAATAATATTTTACAATTTAACCGTTTGTTTGATCAAATAAATGCAGTCTTGGTGAACATAAGACTTCTTTCACAAACATAAAAAATATCATACTGCCCCCAAACTGTTGGACACTATTGTGCATGCATGTTTTGGTATATTAGTTTATATATTTTCATGTTACGGCGGGTAACCATAAAAATAAACATAAAATGGTTAAAGAGATCATTTAAGTGTTTTTCAATATAAAAAAATCTTTTGTCTAGTAACCGGTGTGGTATTATTGTAAATATCTGAAGTTTAATCAATCAAATCATTGATGTACAGTATAAAGTTAACTGTTTGAATTGGGGGGGAAACCTGATATAAATGAAATGAATTTATTATAAACGGCAACCTGAAATAAACAAGCCGCTAATGCACCAGTGTTGCCACTAATAATGCATCCCTAGTAAATTATTATTGTAGTCATGTGTTTTAAACCTCTCTGTCCAGTGTTTTAAACCTCTCTGTCCACTCTTTTGTCAGTTTCGCTGTCTAACAGCAGTCTGAAGAAGAAGAGGACTCGCAACATCTTCAGCTCATTGTTCTGCTGTCTGAGAAGTTACGATGCCGAGCCCCCTGCCACCCCCAACAACAACAGCAGCCCTCTGCCTCCACCTGTGGAGGAGAACGGAGCTCCACCAAAGGTGAGACGCCCAAACATCCTCTTTACACGGGGAGTGATTACAGTCAATCAGATGCGTATTGATTCAGAGACCTCTGCTTCTGCGTCTCACCGTCATGTGTGGTTTGCTGATGTTAAGCAGAAGTCATCACAACTCTCTCTCTCTTTTTCTGTGCAGACTGTATCACATTTGTCTGAATTATTGTACATTTGTCTTATGGTTAAGCACCTCATTTCCTCTCCTGTTTGTTTCCTCTGTCTTCATCTCTCATGTCCCAGTGTGACCAGGTTGAGGTCATCCCTATCCCCAGTGTATGTATGATTCCACTCCACTCCGTGCGTCTGTCTGTGTGCTCTCGCATGCCGCATGGAGCGCCGCACCACTGTACACTCGAATCCACTTTTGAAGCGGCTCTGTGGACAGTGATGCACTTTGGCTGATGGATGCTACAGTGCTTGCATGCACTGTATATTATACTACTTCTGAGGCGACTGGAAAGCCTAACGTTTTTTCACACAATTATAGGTTAAGGCATTTTCAACATGTGTTGGCTATGCCCATCTTCCTGCTTTTTAACTATTGGGAGTATGACTGCTTCTGATTTGATAATGCACGTGTTTTTCCACTGTATTCTATTCCGTTTAAAGGTGCTGCGCAAAATTTCCTGCTCTAGCGCGGCAGCGCCACAGTGTTTACAGAGTACAACAGTTTAACTTTCCCTGCCAATATTTTCACTGGCCTGTTTTTTGCAATGCGTTTTTATATTTGTTTGAAATAATTTGATTTTCATTAATGTTCAGTATCCTCTTCAGAGTTTTTGTTCATAATTTTTTTATTTTATTTACAGAATAAAACTTTGTAAAGAGCTGAAAATTTTACACCTATAATGTCGCGAAATGAATTAATTCATTTTTGTTGGAAAAGTATGCCATATGATGCAAAATATTACTGGTTGGTTCATTGTTTAACATAATATTCCTGATGCTTCGAAGACCTCTAAGTATTTTACATTTATATTTAGTAGACGCTGTTATCCAAAGAGATTTTTTTGGAGAATTCAACGAAGCCTTATAATTTGCAACAAAAGTTCAGTATTTGGGGGTCAGTAAGATTTAAAAAAAAAAAGAAAGAAAATGAAATGTATACTTAATACTTTTTAAATTTATAAATACCGACCTCAAACGTTTGAATGGTAGTGTACAGCGATCAGTTACATTCAAAAATCTGTCAACTAGGCCAGACTTATTGTTAAAGTGATAGAGTTCACCCAAAAATGAAAATTACCCAATTTGGCATTACTCAAGCCATCCAAGTTGTATATGACATTCTTCTTTCAGACGAATACAATTGGAGTTATATTAAAAAAATATCCTGGCTCTTTCAAGTTTTATAATGGCTGTTGGTATTCAGTAGTCAAATAGAAGTCCAGTAATCTGCTCCAATCCATCATAAAAAGTGCTCCGGGGGGTTAAAAAGGCCTCCTGAAGCTAATCGATGCGATGGTATAAGAAAAATATCCATATTTAAAACGTTATTTTTATTTTATTTTATTCTAAAGGCCTTTATTAACCCCTGGAGCTGTGTGGAGCACTTTTTTTGATGGATGATTGGGTTTTATTGTACTTCTATTGGACTATTGAAAATCAACAGCCATTCAATGCCATTATAAATCTTGGGAGAGCCAGGACATTTTTTAATACTACTCCAATTGTATTAGTCTGATAGAAGAAAGTCGTATACAAATCTTGAGGCTTGAGGGTGAGTAAATCATGGGGTCATTTTCATTTTTGGGTGAACTATCCCTTCAAGTCTTGGTTTGCACCTTTTTGAAAATCAACCTACAAGTGGCTTCCTTGCATTTTTCTTCTTATGTTGTGATGTTGATGAAAGTAATATGACACTTCTTAATTTAAAAGGTTCATAAATAGGTTGGCCGATTAACTGCGATCTTTAATTGAAGGGTTTTCGCGCGTCTCTTCTGCTGTTAATCTTGGTGGTAGTCTTAATTCCAGTTGGGAAGGTCAGATCTCATGATCCTTAATGATTTCGTCACGAGATTTTAGTAACCCCACAGTGACGTGTATGCTGCATAATTTGCTGTACCGTTGTTTGTGTACTGACTAGGAAGTCGCGTCAAGCCGAACTGTAAGTGTTGTAGTTTCTTTCTGTGTTCATTCAGCAGTTCAGACCAGGATCATGTCTGCACCCCAGCGGTTCCTCCTAAGCTTGATTCATCCCATTAAACAGACAGGGATTTAGATTAGATGGACTCGACAGCATACTGCCTCCCTCCATAACAAGATTGCCTCTGCTTGTATTGAGACGGTGCAGCGAGGATTAGAGAACTGGATCAAGAGAGGGACCCATTCACCCGTATTTATCTTATAAATAAAGTGATGGGATTTCATACAGGCAGCCAGTGCTGAAGTCACTCTCTAACCTTACCCATCCTGCATCTCTGATTAATGTGTGAGAAACCTTTTAATCCCCACGCACGGCCGTAATCCTTTCCACTTCCGCTCGGAAGAGCTGGGATGTTACTGCATGAGCGTCATCTGTGCAGCTCAGGAAATGCACTTCCTAAAATGCACAAAGCTGTCCCTTACCATTTGTGTAGATGGTTGGGAACCGTGCTGCTTTTCTCACATATTTCTGCTCATTTCGCTTGATAACGGTCTAACACGTCGCGGTTTAACCTCCCGTGCCTCATTTCTCACTCATTTCTCTGACATTGCTCCATGTTCATCATGTTTACTCTCTCTGTTTTACATTTCCACAGCCTCCAGAGAAGTACCTCCTCCCTGAGGTTAACATAAATGACTATGGGAAGAAGTGTGTGGTAATAGACTTGGATGAGACTCTGGTGCACAGCTCGTTTAAGGTAATTCATCAATTATTGCCTGTAGAAGTTATTCAGGTGTTTCCCAAACAGAAACAACCAGGGATGGACTGCAGATGCAGTGTAACGGACTTTTCTCTGTAATTTGCTCAGTGACTGTGACCCACTGTGACCTATTTTGCATTAGGGATACACATGTATGTGGGCAGAGCGTCCTGTGATGCTTAGTGACGGCCCAGTCAGGGTTCATTTGTCTCTGCTGCTAGTAGGAGGAGTGCTGGAGAGCAACACTGATTGTGAAACTCAGTATTGGGCTTTTCAGCTTCTTGATCTGTGTATGAAGCTCAGAAATTTAGTGCAGGGCAGGGATTTTATGGTTAACTAAAACTGAAACAAAAATTTAAACCGTTAAAAACATTTTTGTTACTTGAAATCAAATAAACTTTCTGCCAAGGCAGATTTTCTCATTTCGTATTACACGTGTCTTTCTGCTGTGAAATCGTGAATGATTTTTATAAAAGTAAACAATATAACTTTTATATTGTTGGTAATATTTCAAGATTAAACACTTACTGAACTGAAGCAACTTATGTTTACTTAATCCATAAAAATGTATCGCCAAATATACAAATACAAATATAATCGCCATGTTGGCCATATAAATATTAGCAAGTTAGGAACTGCACAAAATTGCATATTTTGGGCCTCGGAATAAACAAAAAGTCTGTGAGTCATACAGTATGAGCCATAAAAGCCTGATATACCAAATAAGTTTTTTTTTTAAGGCTCAATAAAAAATTAAATGTTCTGACTGTTTCATATGTCAGGCTTTGCGGGGTAAATTTGCCTTGAGGTTCATTGATTTCAGTCATGCTTAGGACAAATATTTTAGGTGTGCAGTTCTCAAACCTCCCTCACAAGAGATTATTAATATTTGATTAGGCAGCTTTGTGTTGAAAGAGCACAGACGCCCTCTGCTGTTTGTTATCACTGCACTGTCATTAAATAGAGCTTATCACATATCAGTAATATCTGATTGCGGTCATAATGTTTATCAGCTTGTTAGTTTGTAATATTTGGATATAGTAGATGGGACTTAAAAGGTCACTTGAGGATTTATTTTAACTATAAGAAAGACAAAGCATGAGAGAAGTTATGATTCACAGAAAATGCACATTAGCATCTGTCATGTTCAAGTTGTTTGGGGTAATGTTGAATAGTTGTGTGTGACTAAAACCATGAGATTGTTATTTTTGTAGAATCCGGTGATACAACTGGCTGAGTAGTGATAAGAATTTTCTAATTAATGGATTCATGTATCAAATGCAACCTGATATGGTTTATTCTTGGTATTTAAATATTCTTTATTTGGAAAGATGGATTTCATGAGTCTTGAGTGATGCTCGGAACAAAAAAATAAGCAGGTGCAATAAACATTTTAGAAGTGCTTGCAATAAGACAAGAGTTTAGTCTTCAATGTAATACCTACTTTATCGGAAGGATATTTCCGAAAGTTTGGGTGGGTTTCGTTGGATCACTTCCTCCACATTTGTCTCCCATCTGAGGCTGGGTCATAACTCATCTGTGTTGTGTTTGTTTCTTTCTCACAGCCCATTAGCAACGCTGATTTCATCGTCCCAGTGGAGATCGACGGCACAGTGCATCAGGTACAGTTCTGATGGAAACATGCGCTGGTTTCATATTACACTGTAGCAGATATGAAGCCAATTATGTGTTTTATGTCAGTGTCAACTTCATTAGATGATGTGGTGGCTGTTCCCTTGTTCAAGTAATCCAGGATAGGCTGTCTGTCCTGGGAGGCCTATTCCTGATTACTTGCACTAGGTGGCAGTCGTTTGTCTTCATGGAGCTGATGCAAATCGTCTGTTTTGGCTTTCAGATTGAAGAACAAGATGACTTCTATTGTATTATATTGTTATTATGTTATATTGCTATATTACATTTTATATTGTATAGTTTTATGATGATGTAGTGTTATTGTAATATGTTTTATTTTATTAAGATTTATAAAGATGACAAAGATTAAATCAGTCATTTAAATGAACTTAAATGGCTCAGCGTATCGCTATTATATTTTTTGCTTATTTTATTATTATGAAGATATATTATACATTTTCATATTATATTTTCTAGTTTGTTTAAAAAAGAATTTCACTTATTATGTGTTGTTATAATAACACGATACAAATAATACATAATAAAGGTTCAATTTATCATTTAAATTAACTTGCATGGCTCAGTGTATCACTTACATTTTTTGTTCCACAATTTTTTTTATATATTATTAAAATGTATTCTAAATTTTTATATTATGTTTTGTAGTATATTATTAAAAAAATATTGAACTATGTGTTATATATTATAAAGATTCATAAAGATTCTATTTATCATTTAAATTAACTTAAATGTCTCCGTGTATCACAATATTCTATTTTTGGTTTTGTACATTTTATCATTATATGTATTATGAAAATATATTACATTTTTCATGTAAAATTTTAGAGAGTATTGTTTCATAAAGATTTATGTAGATTATAAAGATTCAATTTGTCATTTAAATTAACTTAAATTGCTCCGTGTTATTTTTATTTTGTTTGGTAAATATGTAAATATGAAAATGTTTTATCATATTATGCATTTTCATATTTTATAGTGTATTGTTTTATAAAGATTTTACTATTATGTGTTATATATTATAGAGATTTGCAAATGTAATAATTAGTAAATATTTTATGAAAATGTGTTATTTAGACTTAAATTGCTCAATATTATATTAATTTATATATTTAAAAAAATTGAGGCCTGTATGTATTATGAAAAATTTTTTATCAATTAAAATGTACTTAAATAGCTGTTATCACATTACTACATTATATATATCATCGTATTTTATATTATATTGTTTGATAACGATTTTATGTATTATGAGCACTGTGTATCACAATATCTCCCCTTCATAGGTGTATGTGCTCAAAAGACCTCACGTTGATGAGTTCCTGCAGAAAATGGGCGAGCTGTTTGAATGTGTGCTTTTCACTGCCAGTCTAGCCAAGGTTTGTCCACCACACTACGACACTGACTCACTTAATGTCAACAAACATGTCAAAAGACTCCCCTGCTGGGTGGGTGTTGATTCATACCTGCTCTGCTAATATCTGACCCCCCTCTCTGTCTCTGTGTGGCCTGCGTTTGTTTTAGCCGCTAATGCATGGGTAAGTGTCTCTATGGCAACTGTGCCTCTTCCAGAATGCGTGCCATGTACCAGTAGTTGCAGTCGCTGCTGCCTTCACCTTTGAAAGCTCACATTGTTTGAGTTTGGCCGCTTTTACGATACGCTGTGAAGTTTCATTTGTCGCCGTATCTGTAGCAGATTTGTTTTGTTCTTCTCATAGCTGTTAGTGACACATTAGCTGTTGAGAATGTATGCGGCCCACTGTAGTTTAGATCATGTGTCTTGGTTGCTTCCGTGTCTGTTATATCGAGAACATAACCGCTCATTGGCTTTAAAGCTTTCTTACTGAGAGGCACATATCTGATTATGGTTTGTAGGTTTCCTTACAGTCCTCTTTGTAGACGTTTTTGTTTGCATAGATATGGAAATAGTGTTGCGTTGCCCTAGCAGCTTACTTTTTCTCTGTTTTATATTTGAATTTGTTGCAGGGAGCAGCTGGACGATTCTACAGTGACTCGACTGTTTAATCAGTGCATGAGCAGCTTGAAGGTCCTCCTTTGACTTGTTTGTAAGTGTCTGTCGTGTCTGTGTGTGCTTCAGTATGCTGACCCGGTGGCTGACCTGCTGGACCAGTGGGGTGTGTTTCAGGCGAGACTCTTCCGGGAATCCTGCGTTTTCCACAGGGGGAACTATGTTAAAGACCTTAGTCGGCTCGGGAGAGAGCTCAGGAACGTCATCATTGTGGACAACTCCCCTGCTTCCTACATTTTCCATCCTGAAAATGCTGTGAGTTTTGATTGCTGATGAAACTCCTAACTAAACCACAGTTTGGTTACTCTTGCCCTTATATATAGTAGTGGGAAAAAAACCATAAACATGACATTCAGAGTCACAATGGACTCTTATGAGACAGATTCTTTTAGCGAATCACGATCATACAACTCAGCCAATGTAGTCGCCCGAATGATTCTTATTAGTGCATTAAACACACACACCTAAACTGGTTAATATGGTAAAACTGGTTATTCATATGACAATGTATAGTTAAAGCTACACTAATTCATTTTTTTATAATAAAAAATATATTAATCATAAAAAACCAAGCCATATCTTTACTACACTCATGAACCACATTCATCCGAAGAGATGAAGCATAATCTTCTTTCAGTTTCATTTTTAACTCCAAAAATGGCCCAAAATTACATGGTGTACCTTTAGTGTACACCATACTGTACACATTATGAGAGTCGTTGATATTTTAGAAAAATCATTTGCCACAAATAAGTGAGTAAAATAAGTATCCACCTTTTAAATGTAAATAAGTATGCACTTTTTTCATAGTGCCCTATAATTATAATAAATTTTTTTGTAAGTAAACAATAGCCTTTAAAATTACTTAAAATACATATATAATAGCGATGAGGCAATAATTAGTTCAAATAAAGTATCAAAAGCAAGAAAGCATATGGTTTTATTGAACAAAACTGTTAAAGGAGTCATATGATGTTGCTAAAAAGAACATTATTTTGTGTATTTGGTATAATGAAATGTTTATGCGGTTTAAAGTAAAAAAAAACCTCGTTATTTTCCACATACTGTACATTATTGTTTCTCCTCTATGCCCCGTCTTTCTGAAATGCATCGATTTTTACAAAGCTCATCGGTCTGAAAAAGCGAGGTGTGCTGTGATTGGCCAGCTATAAAGTGTGTTGTGATTGGCCGAATACCTCAAGCATGTGACGGAAATGTTACGCCCCTCACCATACTGTGATGATGCCCTATCAGGCCGGAGCGATGATTCAAAAACATGAAAACCCATTATAAACGAGTAATTCGTTGCATCCAGTGGGGACATAATTATGGATTATAATGACTTAAACTGTCTTTTTACACGTTGCGTTGCATTGCGCCGCGTAAACATAAATCCATGTCTGCATTTGTGATCGGAGAAATGACAAACAACAAGCCCTACTCTACACTCCCCAAAAAACCCGCTTTAAATATATAAAATATAAAAACTCTTTAAATATAAAAAAACGTACTTACAGTCTGAGAGTCAGAACAGCCGGCATTGTAGTCTACTCTACCAGGATCAGGAAACAGTCCTCCATAAAATGTGCTGCACACATCTGAATATTTGGGTTGAACTGTTCTGGAACAGTGTTGTAAATACAACTTAACCACTGATTTCTAGTCGTGTCCTCTTTTGGAAGGCCAAACAAAGTAGTTTCGCTTTCACAACGAAACACAGCGTCACACATGGTGGCCTTGAGTGAGCGACGGCGGCCTACAGTGAGCAGAGGCCGGGGGCTAGCATGAGAGAGGGCTAGAGTGAGCAGAGGCGGGTGGGCTTGAAAACGGCGCGGCTGGCGATTTACGACGAAGGAGCGTCCGGAAGGACATGTGACGACTCCGGGCTGTACTCTGCTTCGTCCACGGTGAAAGCCGATCCGGTGATCCACAGCACAAAGTTGATGTATTTCCTCAGTGACCAGCACGGATCAGCTCTAGGCATGACGAAGCGGATATCATCCTCTTTTGGAAGGCCAAACAAAGTAGTTTCGCTTTCACAACGAAACACACAGCGCCTTCATGACATGGCGGCGGCAGCAACAACAATAATACAGCGAAAATAAAAGTTACGCCGCCGCCTTTGCATGAACATTTGGGCGGCGTTATGCAAATCTTCCCACATCGTGACGTAGACATGTGGGGGCGTGTTAGAACGAGCCGTTTTAGGTAGGCGTGGTTGACTCTTAACTTTTATAAAGAATATCTCTTTGGATTTGAGACTTTAGTCTTTGCAACTTTACATATCTTCTTTATGCACCAAGAGCTTGTAACACTCCAAAGAGAAAGAAAAAATTTTAATCGCATCATATGACCCCTTTAATGATCTTATATTTTGGATATTATATTCCCCAACCCACCAATTCTTCTGCCTCAAAAGTGCCAAAAGAATCATTATGGAACCAGAATCATAAGCATCAGAACCGGAACTCTGATACATTTCTTTGTTTCCACCCTTGTCCTTTTTTGTTTTATTTAGGATCTATTTTGGTTTCAGCAGCAATTTACACTGTCTGTAAAAACCAGTACAACAACACTCTGGCAATAATTTTTTTTTCGTCGTCACACTGAAAGTGAAAGTGCTTCACAATGTGACAAATGTACAGCAATATTTGTTGTGGAATATACAGTTATGTGAATCAAGATTTTGGACCAAAAACATGTCATAACATGAATGTGATTATATTATCAGATAATAACTGTGTGTGTCTTGTGAAGGTTCCCGTACAGTCGTGGTTTGATGACATGAATGACACCGAGCTCCTGGACCTGCTGCCTTTCTTTGACGGACTGAGCAAAGAGGAAGACGTGTACGGGGTGCTGCAGAACCTGAGGGGCAGGTAGCAGGCCGAGGGGCCAGTGTGAGTCCCCCACGCCCCGCTCCGCTCCCAGCACCTCTCTCCTCTCTCCTTCAGCCTGCAGTCCTCACCTCACCCATACCACCAGGACACGCACACCGGGACATAAACAGACTGAACATTTAATGGACACTCAGATATTTCTCTTTTGAAAAGTGCTTATGATAAACCAAAAATTCTACTTTTTTCCCCCCCTTTTTTGAAATGAAATATCCAAGTCATAACCATTCTCGGAGGTGTTGCTATGCAGGTAGAAATCAGTAGGGTTAAAGGACTGTGGGGTTTCCTCTCTGACCCAACAAAGTGCCTTTTTTGAATGTCATTTTTATGGGGGAAATGAACATTTTGTACACGAGAACCTAATCTTTACAAGAATTATATGCTTTAAAACGGAGGCAGGTCAGACTCTTTTTATAAAAGCACTGTTAAAGAGGCCAGATATTTTTAATTGTGTAAAGCTGGGTACACGTCTCCATCTTCTGTTCTTCTCGTGCTCCTTTTGTTTTCGATTTTGCTTTAGCTTGTGCCATTATATAGACCGAGACTATTATTTAGACTTGTATACGTTTAGTTTGTTTTCTAAGAGCAAACAAATGCATTTGCACTTGTTAGGTTACTCGTCTCATATACCGCAGCCTCTTTTGCCAACTAACCCCTTAAATCGTGCCAATCGCTAATATTTGTCTCGCAATCTGATGCTGAAGTACGTTTCGTTTTCAGCGAACAGCCCCAACGCTAATATTGGTGCTGGAGTCAAATGTTTGGACATTTCAAAAACAGAGAATTTTAGCCACTAGTCTTTTATTTTGGAACTTTACGTTGATCTGAATGCCTTTGGTGAAGTAGCGTAGACACTGCAGTTGTTCCCCCGCTAATCAATTTTTATGGGGAAGTGTCCTTTATGGAAACCAGGATGCACAATTGCAAATGTATCCCTTTTATCGTCTTTAATTATTTTCTGTTTGAGTCGTGAGTTCTTGAGAATTGGTACAGGTCCATCGTCTTTATATTTAAACCATATATAAACCATACCCTGCTGCTGCTACCACTGTATACTACACTACAAAAGACCTCCCTGTAGGGTACCACCAGTACCAGCCCAGGGACTAGAGCGCTGTGCAGCTTGTGCCAGAGCAGAACGGATGCAGTAGGGCCTTAAAGGGTTTGCTCTTGTCCTCTTGCAGAGCTAAACGAAGCTCTTTTGTCCCAGTGGGGGTTTGAAAGTGTTTGGCGCAAGCTGTGCAGACTCTCCATCACCGCCTAAGTGCCTAAGACGAGAGGAGCAGCGGTGGGATGTCCCGATCCGCTGCTGAACAGGCAATAAACTCTCTCTCTCTCTGCCCAGAGTCCGCCACATCACAGTTTGGTCACCACATGGTGTCTTCCTCCTTTTTTTTTCTTCAGTCTTTTATCGTCTACCTCTCCGTCTCTCTTCATCCTGTTCTGCGGCAGGCGACGGAGAGCAATTCATTCTCACGTTTGTGGTCTTCTGTCAGTATTTGAGATGTATGCTTATGTTAGCCCACGCTTGTTGATGTGCTGTACAGCCTCTCTTCAGTCGTCGGCGTCGATCTTCCAGACTGCCTGGATATTTGGCTTGCTAGTATTTTTGATTTCTAGCTTTTATTTTGAATTGTCAAACAATACTTTTCACATTTGCATATTTCACCTTTTTCTTTGAACACCATAGAGTCCTGGTGATCTGGCAGCGTTAAAACACTATTGGTTTTGCTCAGTTGTTTGCTTCTGTTTTTCGCAACTAAACTGTCAGGTGCTGTTTTTAAAACACTTTGTTTTTGTGTTGTCACTTAAATATCTCAAGTTGGCACATTCAATTACATTATGCCTTATGTTCTTTATCGAATTATAATTTTTTTTTAGTAAGCCATACAGACACTTTAAATGGTCCACAGATTGACTCGGGGGTTTGAAATCAGTTCGGAGAGGCTGTGCAGTGCTGATTTTTGGAGTATATTTCAAGCTGAATTGATTCATGGTTGTCGTAAGTTTTCTTCCAGACTCTGTTATATTAAAGCACCTTTTTAAAAAAAACAGCACAATGACTTTTATTGGACTTATTTTATATTGCATGTGCTTGAAGTTCAGTATCTCAGGTGTTACTATTTCTCCAAAGCACATCAGCTCTTGCAAGGTGTTTTGGCATATCTTAAGTTGTTGGTTGAGAGATTTTACACTAGCTTTAGTTTGTTTACAGAATCAGCAGTCAGGTAATTTGGTTTTATGATTATAAACACATGATTTAATTTAAAACCTGAATTTTGAATGTCTTGAGTATGTGGTTCATCCCTTAAGAGCTATATAAACGCTACAAGTTTGTGTAAATCCTAATGATCCTGTTCTCCAGCATGAGATTATTCAAAGAACAAACCATCCATACAAAGGAATCACATGATCAACTTGTTGATTTGAGACCAACAAATAGTGCAGAATCTTAATATCTCGCTTTATCATAGCATGTTTTAAAAAGTTTCAGACTGTTGAGCATATGAAGTGATACTCTTTCAAATATATGCTAATGTCATCCAATTCTCTGCTGCTAAATAGGAAGTTTTGTGATGTTACCAAAGTAATGCAGTTTTTCTTCTGCTTTCACGTGGACTGGATGTCTACACTAGTAGAGCTCACGCTTACGGTCTTGCAGATGTGAATCCAAGTGTCTAAACTGCCAAATATGGCATTATCCCACAAGCTCATTAAACTTTCTTCATGCCTCTTTTCTCTGGTTTAAGCCATTACAGAATAAAAAACTTAAAACCTACAGTTCTGAATAACTTAGATTTATTTCACCTTTACATGGATGTATACAGTTGGCAATGTTTTTTTTTATCAAAATCACTGATTTTATGAGTATCATGGCATTTTAAGTACCTCATTTAATAATGACATACATCGGATGTGGTATGTAACTACATAAAAGACAAAGAAACAGTCTAATGCAGGCTTAAAAACATGTATCTAAAGATACTACTCAGAGGATGGAGTGGTTCTGTTCATCTGCAATTCCACCATCAAATGATTCCTCTGCTAAAATCTGAATATCTAAAAACAGTACTCAGTTTAACGAATACTAAACATTGACACTCAATGTAATCTGTTTGGCATACTAAAATTTATAAATGTATTTTACAAATCGTAAAAAGTACAAAAAAAAGTTATTGATATGCGAGACCATCATATCACAACTTCTGAAAAGCTTCTCTATTCCCCCAGTTTCTTATTTACCCATTAGAATCACTCAAGCTGCCTCATGTTTTGCAGACCCATCCACATATGATCATCTCAGATACAGTATAAAACCTGCGCCATCATGTGTTATTCAGCATCCACAACCATGATGTGAACAAAAAGTCCAGCAGAGGAAAGGTGGTCTCCATTCTTATTGAGCAGTGGCACATGGTGATATCCTGTGGCATAACAAACAAACTATTGATTGTCTGCTTGTGTGGTTATAGTAATGTTTATCATGCATACTTAAGACAGCAACGGCAATTCACAAAAACATAGAGATGAGCATGTATTTTAACACACTAACCATTCTTTAAGCTGTTGAAGGGAAGAGTGTACTGGCCAATAAATTCATTGTTCGAACTGGAGTCATAGTCCTCAATCGAAAAGCGCACAAGGGCTAGATCTGGCACACGCACATCAAACTGGAAGTTCTCATTCCACATGGGGTTGAAGCCTTGAGAAACAACAGAGAGCGATTAAGCGACATCTCGATCCTGAGGAGTCCTGACTCAGCACATTTAGAGAGTTATTATACCGTTATTCTCAATGTACTGCGTTTCCACCATTGTGGTATCGGCCGGCACACCGTAGACCTGCACTTTCACGACAGGATCAACAATGGAGGACTTCCTTTCGCTCACTTTGGGTAACTGCTGGGCTGTGATCACCTATTAGACAAATTACTATATTTTTAGCAACGGCAATTCACAAAAACATAGAGATGAGCATGTATTTTAACACACTAACCATTCTTTAAGCTGTTGAAGGGAAGAGTGTACTGGCCAATAAATTCATTGTTCGAACTGGAGTCATAGTCCTCAATCGAAAAGCGCACAAGGGCTAGATCTGGCACACGCACATCAAACTGGAAGTTCTCATTCCACATGGGGTTGAAGCCTTGAGAAACAACAGAGAGCGATTAAGCGACATCTCGATCCTGAGGAGTCCTGACTCAGCACATTTAGAGAGTTATTATACCGTTATTCTCAATGTACTGCGTTTCCACCATTGTGGTATCGGCCGGCACACCGTAGACCTGCACTTTCACGACAGGATCAACAATGGAGGACTTCCTTTCGCTCACTTTGGGTAACTGCTGGGCTGTGATCACCTATTAGACAAACAGAAACAGTGCACATGTAACACGCAGCATTGTAACGAAGCTATGCAACTACAAATCCATTACCATCACATGAAGAGTCTTGTTCTTTAACCATGGTCCATCGGGAAGAGTGATGGGGTCAAATTTAGTGTCTCGGTCTCGTAGGTAAGAAGGCTTGAGGTTGTAACCACTCTGTCCGTTCTGGAGGAAGAGCCCCCGATTCAGATCCATCTCTGGGCAGGCCGTCTGGAAATTAAGGGCCACTGGAGAAAAGGGAGATCAAATGGATTGTTACAATCAGGTTCGGAGAAACATTTTAAGCTTTTAAAAGCCTGTGAGTTTAGCACTGTGACATTAACATCAAATCTAACTAGATTTGAAAATGCACGTCTTCGTGTCAGTTGTATGGTGGGTATAAAATTCATGTCTTCTTTACCTATCTGACAGCCTGCGTTCCACAGAGGCACGGGGTTGTAGTTTGAGGAGTCTGTTCTCAGTCCCGCTGGGTAAATCCGACTGAGTTTGTCTATATTGTGACGGATATAATCGTTCGCTGTGGCAAAAAAATAAAGTTAGCTGAGGAATGTGTTTGGATAGTTGACAAATAGACATATAGGCAGAAAAGTTTTTGAAAGGCAGATGATTTTAGATGATTATACTTATAATATATACATGTATATATATACACACACACACGCGCCCACACACACACACAGGCTGCATTTTCTGCAAAATACAGTTTAAAAAAAAAAGAAATATTGAAAAATATTATAAAAAATGTAAATATCAATATTCTGTTTTTATACGTTACGGCATTCTGTCCTTTTGCGCCTCCTCATTGTTTTCATTTGGACTTTTTTTTGCGTCTTTTGGTCGCCCTTTGTCAATTTGCAGGGTGGAGACTAGAGACCTGCACTCCCGCGGGAGTACCGAGGGACCCAACGCAACAGGATGCGGCGCGGGACAGCTCTTGATGGGCGAGTGCGGGTAATTTTCTTAAATTACTAAAAATAAAATTTGTATAGATTTGAAATGAGAATTTATTTTATTTATTTTTTTAGATTTTAATAGATAATTTTACGTTCATGAATAAAATGGGTCTCTCTTTTTGCTGTCCAGTAAAGTGATGAATATATGAATGGCTCTTTTCCTTGTTAGTCACCTGCTCATTTCCATATTCAAAGTTGTGTCAAAGGTCTCCCTCATGCAGAACCATCATCTGTGACGTTATGCACATTTCTGACTGTGTATTTTGCAGCGTAATAAATCTGTGCAGCTGGACAGACTCCAAGTCATGACACATACTCATGTGTTTAATAGCCTGTGTTGTGTCTGATCGGCATAAGTCATGACATCACACCTGATTCCTCCGCCAGTTTCGCAGCTTTTCCCTCTTTGAAGGAGGCCATCTCATAAAAGGACTGCTTGTCCTGGGAATCCTCAAATCCATGGAAGTGGACACTTTTGCAGTAGATCACGATATCAGACAGCTCCTTCGCCAACTTCAGCGACTTTGTTTTCTGTTTCGGGTATATGTAGTTACAAAATGTAAAAAAAAATTGAAATCAAAAGAAATAGACATTTTTATTACCATGATCACATATGTTCATAAGAAAGAGAGTACAGAAATCAGCTTACACTAGACTTCTTTTCCTGGTCTTCTTCATCACCTTCATCATCTTCTTCCTCTGTTACACTTTCTTCGTCTGCTGTTTTGGACTCTGAAAACATGTCCTCAAGTTTGTCTAGTCTTTTCCCTTTGAGTATGAACCGGCCTTTGAGCTCCTAAATAATACACGACACAGCCATATGTGTAAACCAATATTTACCAACTAGTGCCACCAAAAGGAACGGCAAATACCATTTTAAGAGCAACTTACAGTTGTCTATGAAAAAATGAAAATTCTTAGATCTCAGCTTAACAGTGCAGAATACTATCAAATATTGGTATTTCTACACAAACTGAACAGCATATGTTTCTAACACAGTTGCTGTAACTGATGTAACCCTGAGAACAGCAGTGTTTGTATTGTTGACTGTGACAGTGACTAGGACAGGCCACACCTTGACTGAGGGGAATGGAAAACAACGTTATGTAAGCTATGATAATCATCCACTCCCCTGCAGGCAAAGCACCAGTCGTCATAGTAACCCAAAGCAGAGTCTTTCAAAGCAGGTCACCACAAAACCACGATGGACCAACGTGATCGCATAACTCTGCATTTGCCATTTCCTCATGTCGAAGTACGCGAGCATAATTGATGTGCTGAAGGTGTCAGTCTAGTATTTCTGAAGAGTTGACATTTGTAATTTTGTGAAAACAAAGAGAGTTTGAGATGCAGCGACGATTTCAAATAGAGAGCAGCTGTATGAATTCCTGGCTGGAAAACTCTCTTGGGTCTGACATCTAAAGCCACAGCTACTGGATTAAATCAACTACTTTGATCTTTTAAACTCATTTCAACAGATTTGAAGTAAATATTCAATTTGTATAAATGGCATATACTCCTGTGCACATTTAAACCAAAATAAAGCATGCCTAGAACCCCTTCTAAATTGGTCAAACAAGGCATTCTGTGGTCAAACATTTTTTAATTCCAACCACTAAATAGTAGGAACATATGACATATTGGTACCATATCGGTTATCTATCTGTATGAAGAGACACTGGATCTTCAGTTCCAGGTATCGTTGGTTGGTTGGTTGTATTTGAAGGGATAGTTCACCAAAAAAAAAAAGAAAATTCTATTATTAATTACCCTCACGTCGCTCACAACTCGTAACACCTTCGTTCATCTTCTGAATACAAATTAAGATATTTTTGATGAAATCCGAGAGCTTTCTGATCCTGCATAGACAGCAAGGGTCCTACCACGTTCAAGGCCCAGAAAGGTAGTAAGGACATCGTTAAAATAGTCGTTAGAATACTTTTTGTGTGTGGCACTGCTGACGCAGGAACTGTCATATTTGTTTACAATCAGAGGAGTGCACACACATGCGTCGTGGTACTCTCGTGAACGTGTGTCAAAGACTGACACGGAAGAGAAGAAATTGTTAAAGTAATTATTTTTGTTTTCCTTGCGCACAAAACATATTCTCGTAGCTTCAGAAAATTTCAGTTGAACCACTGATGTCACACACTATTTTAACGATGTCCTTACTACCTTTCTGGGCCTTGAATGTGCTAGTTGTGTTGCTGTCTATGCAGGGTCAGAAAGCTCTCGGATTTCATCAAAAATATCTTCATTTGTGTTCCGAAGATGAACGAAGGTGTTATGGGTTTGGAACGACATGAGGGTGAGTAATGACAGATTTTTCATTTTTGGGTGAACTATCCCTTTAAATGTTTGGCTTTTACATGGCAGATACAAATTAAATATTAAACATAATATCATAAATATAAAAGAAACTACTACTAAAAAGACGATTAAGCACAATTTCTATAAAAGATTCTTTAAATGCACTTTTGATAAAAATGGTAAACGTTTTTCTGGGTTCATAAATAAGTCCTTAAAAGTTTTCCAGGTATCGTTATCATCAACAAAAAACTAAGTTTGGCTTATTGCATCGGCTAGA